AGTGACTTAAAGCGAGAAAGCTACATAATTGTCTGACAAACAACACAAATTATCTTGCGACTACAAAGAAAATCCTAGTCTTTGTTGAAGATCTGGTTTGAAGTAAAATAATTAAACATAAACAGAAGAAAGGAATTGGCAAACTGTTGCAAATCCCATAAAATACAACCAGAGATTGCAATGAATCCAGCAATGGTAAACTTGAATATGAGATCACTCAAAGTTACCTAACCAAACCAAGAAAGGCCAACTTATTTAACATTAAAATTTATCAAAACAATTATAATTGTAATAATTGTCTTCATGCTATAAATGCAGTGATATGGAGCTAAAATTACTAGCCAGGGCATGTTTGCATCTGGACCCAAAGATGGTTGCAGTTTGCAAGTCTTTAGTTTCTAAGGTTCTACATCCCATGCAGCCAGGGGTTGACAGCAGAGAATGTCTCACCCATTATGTCTGGAAATGAGTTTTTCAATCAATTTTTGTCATCTAGAATAACCAAATAGCTATATTTTTCATTCCATACAATTAGAGCCTACAGTTGAAAATTCAAAATTAAGGAGACCAAGATATCACATTTCATGGAATATGGAAATGCTGAATATGAACATAGAGACACAAGAATATTATTGGTGAGAGCAGACGGATTGTGTCTAATAGTTAACTCCATAATGAACTACCATGTACAGTCTGAAGTCTTAAAACTCCAAAGCCCCAGCAAGGCTGAGCCCACAAAAATATATGAGATCCAGAAATTTAAATTGTAAGACACAAAAGTTTCAATCATATGTATTTGCCACACATAAAAATGGATAATCACACATAAGAATATCAATCAAGTTAATTAAACATACCTCTCTAGATGAAGAAACACCACGGATAAGTCTACGCACACCGTATGTCACAGAAGGTGCACAATCATTTAACCCAGCATCTTTATCAGCTTCCAATTTTATTCCATTCTCAACCAACTCCTTCCCACCCCTCTCATATGCCTTCTGCACTTCCTCCAACTCTGTCACCAGTGATTCTGCCGCAGCTTGTATCAGAGAAACATCAGCTGATGCCAAGTCCTCAAAAACACTAATATGGAACTCAGGCATATCACTACTAGATGAAAACATAGTCGATGACTGAGTTCCTTCACTTTTTAACGCTGCATCTGTTTGTTTGGGCTGAGACTCTTTATTTTCTATGGCGGCATGATGCCTCTCTTTGTCCATTGCTTTTCTCTTCTTCTTTCTTTCCATGGGTTTAATAGATGCATCCTCAACTGCCTTATCTCCATCTTTTTTCATACCCTTTTTTATTTTCTTTTTCAAAGGACTTGCAACAACATTTTCACTTTCTATATTTTCTACTTCCTCTACAGCATTGGAGTTCCTTTTCTTGCTTCCCATTGAAACCAAACTAGCTAAAACTTTCTGCAATAAAACAATGCATCAAAAACAACTATCAAATAACCAAAGCTATTTTACCGCTAAAGAGAAATACTAATGAGTGCGACAAAAAACAGAAAGAACACTGATAATTTCAACCACCACCAACACCAATTTCAACACAAAAGGAAAAAAAAAAAATGATTTCATGCCTGTCAAATAAAATCCGCATTCAAACAGTCCAAACAAACTCAAATCAGAATAACTCAATCACCAGAACAGACAACCAAAATTTAAAGGCATTAAATGAAATCAGAATAACTCACGGTGGGAAACTGACGAACTGTGGATGGAGTGGACTGTGGTCTGTGGATGGAGTCACGGTGGGAAACTGACGAACTAGAGTCTGGAATTTGGTCTTTGGAAGTTTTGAAATTTTCAGATTTGAACTTTGGAGAATGGAGGCAGAGAACGAGAGAAAGACGAAAGCGTGAGTGGCTGTCTGACTGAGTGCGTGACTGCGTCTGCGTGAGGGCGAGGATAAAATTTTTTTGCTTTTATATTTAGGGTTGAACTAAATATAAAAGCTATAGAAAAAGTAATCGCACAAGGGAATGAATCTGAATTTGAGGAAAGAAAAGCAAGTTTTATTTGAAATTAAGAAATTGGGAAAAAGGTGTGGACTTGAGGTGGGCTCATACAGAGGTTCAAAACAAGGCCCAATTCATATCTGGCCCTTTTCTTGGCCCGGTTCTTGAAACTAGAAATCTGGACTTTCGTTTATAGAACAAGAAAATTGAACAATTGCACTCACCAAAGTCCAAAAGGGTTGGCTTCTTTTGATGTGTTTCTTTAAACACCATTACCGAAATTACATGCGCAATTATCTATTAATTAAAAGAATTTTTAATATTGAAACATTTCTTAATAAACCAATTTTTTTTTTTTTTTCAAAAGGGTTATCAAAGAGTCAAAGGTTTTTCTCTTTTTATATTATAAATTTCAGAGTATTTGATTGAAAATTTGAAATTTCTTGTAACCTATAGCAGATTCTACCCAATAAGGCAAATACTTCAGATCTCGCATTTCTCGTGGACTTGTTAAAAAACATTATTTCTCAATAATATCATAAATATAAACTCCATATATGAAGCAATTAATAATCTAGAAGAAGCTATTTCTTCTTCTTTTTATGTATAAACATAAATATTAATGCAATTTTGCCTATGGGATTATTGTGAACCAATCACTTTTTTGGCCTTTTAGGTAAATCACATGCACAAGTCATATTCTCAATAACCTAACTCATCTTATCATATGACCATATTTAGCTGAAACATCAAAATAAACACACTTTTTACCAGAAAAACTTTATTGCACACTTCAATTACAAGTAACAAACAGTCCGAAGATGAAAAAACTACTTAGCTGAAATACTGAATCGATAATGTCGATAAAAGTGTTGGGTATTAATATAGATGTTAAGACAACAAAGGGGGGTGAAATGTAATGGATTAGAGAATAGGGTAGGGATTGGATGTTTTATTGTAGTACCAAAATAATAATAAAGGCTCAATGAATTGGCTCAATGGCAGATTCTTGGTGAAGTAATAAATATTAATAAGTGCATGTGCCATAGCCTGAGGAGTAATACTATATTTATATCACTCATTACATCGTTTTCATTACACTATCACCATTTTACTAATAATTATTTTATTATAATATTAAAAATTCAAAATAATTAAAAATTTGTGTGAATGTGGGATATGTCACATCATGGTGTAATGAAAATAGTATAATGGGTGGTGTAAATGTAGCATTACTCTAGCCTGAGTAGGTTGAATTATGATTTTTGCAGGATGACCTACCACATGCTTAAGTTCCAACTATTATTTGTTGCTTTTCTTTTCCTTTCCTTTTTTATATTTTTTGTTTCTATATTTAATTATTAACAAAAGGGTTTTTAATTTCTGTGACATTTCCTTTTTGTCGTAATATTATTAGTCAAGAGATGTTACATCGATTCAATTATAAACTCTCAATATCACATTCCATATTGTTATAAAATGAGTTTGATCAATTTTCAAGTCTAGGTCAATTAATAAGTCTTGAATCCCCTCGTCTCACTACATGTATTTTTTTTTTTTTTTTAGTGACTACAGTGTTCGAATCAGTTTGCTCTACACCTCAATTAATCGTTAGAATAAGTGACAAATGTGATAAGTGATCACTTGATAGGGCTCGAACACATGATTTTCAAGTAACATAAGGTATTATCATCCGACTACAAGTCAAGTGGTTCACTCGATGTATTTTTTTGTGAAGAATATTTGTATAAAGATTCAATAACGATAATTAGGGATTATACTATGCATGAATTGTCTATTCAAATTCGATCTATGCATCGGACAAATTTCTCTCTAACTGAAATAAAAAATGAAAAATCTAAGTATTAGAATAAGGCTAGGTAAAATAGACATATCTATGAAGGTGCCAACTATTTGCAGCTAGACAAGAAAAAACCCTATGAAGCTTCACTGTATTCTGGGATTGGCTTTTAGCTTTTCCTGCGTAGCTTATGGAAGGCGAAAAAAGCCTCCAAGCTCAAAAGCAAATTAAATCTAAAAAAATAAATAAACCCAATTTCTAAATGTTGGAAGAGAAAGTTGTCAATTGGGTAACACATAATATACAATATGTTAATACATTATTAATATATATTTAAATTCTTTGTCAATACATATGATCATATTATAAAATATTGATATACAGCTGGTAATAACTAACATAATATGAGCTTATGAGTCATGACCCATTGAATAGCGTAATGAATAGAATTTAGAATTTTTATATGGATTTACAGCTTCTGATATGAAAGAGCTTGGATCTATAGTGGTCCAATGACCATATTAATTTCAATCTAGTTTTGAGTATGTTTGTGACAGATTTTGGCCTTGTTACAACCAGCCAATTTAAACAATTTCAATTTTTTTTTTTTTTGGATTCTTAAAGTTTGATTAAAGATAGTTTGATCAAAAGTGCTTTCACATTATAATTTTTTTTTTTGTAATATGAAGTGCTTTTCTCAAAAGCAATATCTTTAAAAACGTTTTAAATGTACCCTTAAAATACATTTAGAAGTATGCCCATATCATTAATAAGTATCGATAGATTGTTAAAATTGTTTTATTAATATTTTTATATGTACCCTTTCTTAACTAAATTTTTTTTTTGGTTATAATCCTGTAAATTCGTGAAAATTTATGAAACGAAAAAAAATTGTTTTCTTAGTTTATATTCTTTTTAATTATGAAATTTTTTTTCTTTTTCTGCTATTATATCAAACAAACGTATCTTAATTTTTGAAAAAAAATTTAAAATCGAAAACCAAATGGGGTGTTTTTTTTTTTTTTCCCCTTTTTAATGAAATAGTTTCAACTATTCTAAGTATTTACATCATGCATGATATCATAATTAATTAAATAACTTAAAGATTTTTGCACCCTTTTTGGTGACAAAAACTGGACATTGGGATCACCCTTGGTCTCATATTTATATATTATGTGTGTTCATATTATCATATATATATTATGAGCGTCCACTTTGACTTCTCTAAATCTTCAATTTGAACTATATCCCAAAACCTGCAAATCCCTATATTCCCTTCATATCCCTTCTCCATTTTTCACTTTCACTAATAAACAAAATCCCAAAACCCATAAGTTCTTGTACATATCTCAATCTTCTTCCTTTCTCAAATTTTGACTGAATTTCCCCTTAATTCTTGACTTTTGAATTCTGGGTTTCTTTTTTTCTCTAATTATTTTTGCTGGGATTTGTCAAAGTTTCAATTTTTAATTCATTTTTGTTCATATTTCATGGATTTTGCTCTTGAATCTTCGGTTTTCAATCGACCCACGTTCGTTCCAACAATAAAAAACTCGTTTTTCCTCTACCAATATCGATGTTCTCAATTTCCTGTCAAGATTTCACCCAGAAGTCATCACTATCCAAAGTTTCATTCCTAGATGTCCCAAAAACAAAATTTTGGACTCTAGAACCCACGTGAAACCAATACACAAAAGTCACTACAGAACTGGGTCGTGAAAAAAATGAAGTTTTGGATTCAAATTTAGAGAAAGTTAAGTTTTTCATGAAAGGGGGAGTCGTTTTAGGGGCTTTTGTTTGTGGGGTATTGGTGCTTGGTTGTAAGAGAGTTTTTGCTGTGGAGAGTGAAGTAAATATTGGGTATGGAGTTACTTGACAGAGCATATTGTTGTTGAAGAATGCTTGGCCTAAAGTTTCTCATGTTTGAGAGTGTTTAAAGAGCAAGGTTTGGTTTTGGCTGCGCTTTTGGGGTTGCCTGCGTTCTTTCAATGGCTGAGACGTCTATCACCACGCTTTTGCCTTGGAAGGTATAAAATTCTTGAGCTAGTCTCTGTTTGTTTAATGTTAATGTAATTGTGTTGTCACAAATTATGCATTTTAGTGTTTGTTATTATTCTGGTCTTGGAAGTGTATTAGCTTAGTTTGGTGTCATTTTGATGTTGGTGGTTTATAGAATCTAGAACAATTTATTGCACATTGTGTTATTATTGTGAAGGGAAAATTATTTAATTTTATTTATTCTAGTGCTGCTTTATCATATGTACTTATAAAGTCCAATTATATTATGTTGGATATAATATTAGACTGTGTTCCGTTGAGGTGTTGTGAATGCTTTTTCTTTTTCTGTGTTTTAGATGGCTGAAGTTGAGGAATAGCCGAATTAGAATATATGGACTAATAAAATAAGCACAATCTCTTTGAATTCTAAACCACATTACCCGTTTCAACTGAAAAGATGTTAACTGAAAAATCATATGGTACTTTTTGGTGCAAGTACATTATTGCCATCTCTTCAAATAGTTTTATTAATTGGCCATTTGATATTATTCTGAATCAGGTGCAGGAATTGGCAGAAAAAGAGCCTGATAATGGTGTCTTTAAAATGCTTTGAAGTGATGTTACTCAGTTTTTGACGACTATTCTCACTGGATCAGCGTCCTACCCTCCCCCTTAATGTTGGTGTAACTAATTCTTTTCTTTTCATATTGAGTTTGAAAATCAATTCTTTTATAGATTCTATTTACGTTTTTAGTGTGGCAAATATTGGAGCCATTGCGTTAGTCACAGAGGTGGCAACAGCTTTATTTTGTATGCCTGGTGTCAGTGCAGCAACAGGAGTAATGACTGTAAGTATGACTTTCTCTCTCTATTAAAGACATGCATATATATTATGAACTCATATTGAAATGCCATGCAGTGCTTATAGTCGACATCTAAGTTATTGGTGGACAGGATATAGTTTCCATCAAACTGAGTATTTGTCCTCATTGAAACAAAGTTCATCTCGTCTATGGATTAAAAGCTCATGCAGATACACACTAAGATTTCTATACCTTATTTCAATTGCTTTAACCAGTTTTCCATTTCCTGAATGATATTGGGTGGCCGTATTACTTCTCACTGAAATTTCTCCAAAAAGTATTGCTGTTCATAGTGCCATAGAGGTTGCTAGGCTTGTGGTAACTTTAAATTATATATTCCATTTTCTTCAATCTAAATAAGGGTGTCTCTGTTAATGCTTAATAGATTTGGCTTTCCCTTGGATTTTCCTCAACCTCATGCTTAATGTAGTTCTGTAGGTTTTCTGTGCTTTGCTGATATTACTGTCTGAGCTCTATTTGACTTTGCAAGGTTTCTAGGTCAGGCCAGTGGCATTGCTTTCCTTGGTACCTTTACCCTGTGGGAAGAGTTGTTACATATCTATCAATGGGAATGCTAAAAGCTCTTGGTTTGAAAGGATCAAGGTATGTTTGATCATGATCTTTTATTTTTTTGGTGAAAAGATAATCATTGCTACTTTTTTTTTTTTTTTTTAATCTTTTTGTATCTTCCACATCATACTTCATTTGTTAGCCATTTCCATCAAATTGTAATGTCCGTTGATCATGTTGTGATTTTAGACAACTCATTTGAATGAGCCTAATGGTTTTCAGTTGTATTCAAGAAAGTATTTCTTGGCTAGCAAAAGAACAGGACACAAGGTTATGATAATAAATTTGCTATTTATCAAGTTATATTTGTATGGAGTTATTCATATCATGTGTAAGGCTATTTAGAGAAGGAAGTTAGGATTAGAATGGGGCAGTAGGTTACTAGCAACAAAGCAGAGGTTTAAGTGGTAGTTATATATACTATGTAAATAAGATTCTAATCCTGGATGTTTTATTCATTCATCTAATAATTGCAAGAGGAATTTCATTTGATTGTATTATGTTATTAAAACGGATTTAGGATTTGGTTTGAATGTAGCCACTTAAGTTTTGATCATGCTATGCCCCAATGTCCTGTATATGAGGCAAATATTCTTATTAGTGAGGACATATTAATTGAAAGAGTCATTTTTTAGTTTGTCGTATTTATTCATTCATCTAATAATTGCAAGAGGAATTTCATTTGACTGTATTATGTTATTAAAATGGATTTAGGATTTTGTTTGAATGTTGCCACTTAAGTATTGATCATGCAATGTCCCAGTGTCCTGTATACGAGGCAAATATTCTTATTAGTGAGGACATATTAATTGAAAGAGTCATTACATAGTTTGTGGTAAATAGTGTTCTATTAACTATCTTTTTCCCCAGTCGTTATCTGTATCTTAAATGCTTTCTTTATCAGTTAGCCATAAGTTGCTGAAGATGAGTTGAAGCTGATGTTGTGCGGAGTAGAGTTGAGTGGGGCAATAGAGGAGAAAGAACAGGTAATGAAATTATTGAATTATAATATCTTCACGTTTTGATATTAAATATGAGTCATTTATTTTAGTCTCTGAACGCTAGTAGTCAATCAAAATCTGTAAAGCTATATACACATAATCGGAAGTTTTACAATGAATTTTATTCTTCATCCCATTGCCATAACAGCTTCAATGGTAATATTCCATTATGCATGGGAAGCTTTAGCAATCTTTATGTGTTGATTTGCAGAAAAATATGCTTCATGGCACCATTCCAGGAAAATTTGCAAAGCACAGTCCTTTGAGGACCACCCTTAACTTCAACGAATTGGAAGGGCCAATTCCACAATCTCTGGTCAGTTGTACAATGCTTCAAGTTCTAGATATTGGTAGCAAGGTTGATGATACCTTCCCATATTGGCTAGAAAGTCTTCTTGAATTGCAAGTTCTTGTTCTTCATTCAAATCAATTTTACGGTTCTGTATGGAGTTGCTCAAAGATGAAGCACTATTTTCCTAAGTTGAAAGTATTTGACCTCTCAAACGACAGATTTTGTGGTCCATTGCCAGCCTGGTATTTCAAAGATCTTAATGCCATGAAGGATGTTAGTGAAGCTGACAGGAAGTTGCAATATATGGGTGAAAGTTATTATCAAGATTCCATTACAGTGACAATGGAAAGGCTTCAGCTTGAACTAGTAAAAATTATTACTACTTTTATTGCCATTGATTTTTCAAATAATAACTTCCATGGAGAGATTGCCTAAGTAATTGGAGAGCTTCATTCACTTATACACCTCAATCTTTCTTTAAACAAATTCACAGGTTGTATCCCATAATCACTTGGAAATTTGAATGCTCTTGAATCCTTAGACCTGTCTTCCAACAAGCTTGTTGGATAATTCCATGGCAGTTTGGCATATTTAATTTTTCTTGGAGTGCTAGACTTGTCACAAAACCAACTCATGGGCCCATTCCACAGGTGCCACACTTTGATACCTTCGGAAATACGTCATATGCTGCAAACTTGGGATTGTGCGGATGTCCATTGTCAAAAGAATGCAGTAAGAGATGAGACAGTACAGGCACCCTCAAAATTAGAAGATGATACACCTCTAGTCTTTGAATGAGAGTGAAAACAATATGTGACATAGATAGTCCTTAACACATGTATTATGTATATATACCAAACACATGGTCGAGTAGTTAAATTATTGGGAAAGTCATGTAGGCTTTTCCCCACTGCATTAACCAATTAAAAAGCTATAATTTTCAAAACGCGTAAGAAGACCAAGATTGTAGCAAAAGATGAATATATACCTAACACGTGTATCTTTAAACCACGTGTATCTTTAAACCTGAATTTTGAATTTTGAGGTTGAATAATTATGAGTTAGATTCCTATAACACTCTCTAAAATTTTGAGAATTACAGTTTATAGAAGCAAATTAGCTTGAAACTTTTAAGAAGTATTTGCAGCCACGCGAGTATGATTTATGACTCAAAAAATAGATAGAAACGAGAAAAATTTGGAAAAGATTTATAAGATGAGGAATATCCACTGAATTTCGAGAAATAATAATAACCTTACATAAATCAAGTATCAAGAAAATTTTAAGTAAGAAAGTGACTTCAAGCATTGTAAGATTATTTTCTTATTTAATGTGAGATTGGAGATTGTTAGAGTGATGGTTTCATACGGTGACGTTTTATCATTAAGTGAGACGACGTCGTTTTGAGCCAAGCAAAGATTAATCCTGTCCGTTGGCTGGCTGAGTATCCAACAGTGGCAAATCAGTCTAATAGTCAACAGTATAAAAGCATTGCAACAGTCTCTTCACAACAGTTGAAACCCTTTTTCGTGTTTTTCCCTTTTTCTCTGTAAAACGAATAGCCTCCATTAGGGTTTGGGTATTGTCTTGATCTTGAATCTTGTAACAGGGTGTTTGAGTAGCTGGTTTGCAGGCCATTTGAGGGTACTAGAGTTTGCAGTGTATCTTGGGTGTTAGATCTGTTTCTCTAGGGTGTTACAGGTTCTAGAAAGATCTGTGTAAGGGTTTGATTCTTGGTCGAGTTGTGTTTTGTAATCTTGATCAATATAGTGTAGAGAGCTCGCTGGTTTCTCGAGCTCAACGTGGACGTAGCTTGCTCATATCCAAGCAAGTGAACCACGGTAAATCTTCTTGTTGTTGTTGTTGTGTGTGTGTGTGTGTGTGTGTGAATCTTTTGTGATTTTGTGTTTGCTTTCTGGTTGATCTGTTAAGAGTAGTTACAACAGTGGTATCAGAGCCATTTCTCGAAGGCTAGGGTTCCTTTACGTAATTAGGGTTTTGCAATTTTGGGGATTTTGCAAAATTAGGGTTTCGTGAAATTAGGGTTTATGAAAATTTGGGGCTTTTCGAATCTGTGATTCATTGAGTCTCCAGTAGGATTTAGGGAACCAAATCTAGGCTAAGTGTAAAGGTATAAAGGCTAGAAACCAGTAACCGTCTTAAAAACTGTCTGGTAGTATTTGGCAACATCTGGTGTAACAACGTCGCGTATCTCTTAGCCTTTTTCTTTCTTGTCGTTTCAGAAAAATGAGTACTACTCGCATGGAGATCTCCCAATATGATAGGAAGATCGATTTCGAGAGTTGGAAGAAGAAAATGAAAGCTCTCCTCTCACACAACAAGGTTGCAATTGCACTGGAAGAAGACACCAAGAAATGGCCAGAGGAAAAACTGACGAAGAAGGGGGAGGTCAATGAAGAGGCTTACAATCTGATCGTTCTGAATTTTTCAGACAGTGTCCCCAGAAAGGTAGATGGTATCGAATCACCACTAGAACTGTTGAATAAACCCAATACTTTGTATGCTTTACAATCTGCTCCTAATTTAGCTTTCTTGAAGGGTAATTTATTTTCTTACAAAATAGATAGTTCTAAGAGTATAGAGCACAACTTAGACGAGTTTATTAAAATGAATCTGATCCTTAAAGGAACAGATCAAGAATTAGGTAGTACTAGTCTTGCTATGATCCTCTTGAACTCTCTGCCTGATGACTATCAGGTAGTAAAAAATGCGTTACAGTACATTAGTACTGTATCAACCCTAGATCTAATAGTTGCAGGTCTTAAGGCTAGGGAGTTAGAGTTGAAATTCCAGAAAATGAGTGGGTCTAACCTGTTTGTTAAAACAAAAGTGGAGTCCAGTCAGATAGGGAGAAACAATTCTGTGAATCAGGGGAATAGGAACAAGAAAAAATGGAAGGGAAATTACAAGAGTAAAGAAACTAGAAAATGCTTTTTTCTGTAATAAGGCTTGCCATATTAAAAAGAACTGTTTTGAATGGATCAAGAAACAAAAACAAGGGAACACAGAGACAAACCTTGCCACCAGTACAAACCTAGTAGATGAACCTGAGGTGCTTACAGTGTCAATGTCTGACACTGCCAATGAGTGGGTACTGGACTCAGGATGCTCTTTCCATATGAGTCCAAACAGAAATTGGTTCCAGGAGTTTGAGGATACTGACTCTGAAACTGTTTACATGGGGAACAATAATGCATGTAGGGTTAGAGGTATTGGCTCTATAACTCTAAGTCTTAACACTGGAAAGCTGGTCAAACTCACAAGAGTCAGGTATATCCCTAAAAAGAAACCTGATACCTCTAGGCACCTTAGATGAAATAGGCTGTAGTTATAAGGCTGAGAATGGAAGCTTGAACATATACAAAAATAGGAACCTTATCTTGATAGGAGAGAAAAAGAATGGGCTCTATATACTCTGTGGGAACATATCCTCTAACTGTTTGAATTTTGTGACTAAGCCTGTCAACCTATCCAACACTGAAAAATGGCACCTTAGACTATGTCACATAAGCCAAAGAGGCATGGACACCCTGAACAATCAAGGTCAGTTTGGTAAGGATAAGATATCTTCACTTCTGTGAGAATTGTATACTAGGAAAACAACATAGAAACAGTTTCCAATAGGGGGTACACCAAGCCACTAGTCCACTTGAGTACATCCACTCTGACCTGTGGGGACCTGGGAGGATTAGAACCTATAGGGGAAACAGCTACTTTATGTCCCTAGTAGATGATTACAGCAGAAAGGTTTGAGTTTACCTTTTAAAGACTATGGATCAAGCCTTAGAAAAGTTTAGGGAGTGGAAACTCTTAGTTGAAAACTAGATGAATAAGAGGGTTAAGGTTCTCAGAACTGACAATGGGTTAGAATACTGCAACCAAGAGTTTGATAAGTTCTGCAGGGATGAAGGGATTCTGAAGCATAGGACTATGAAACACACCCCTCAATAGAATGGGGTGGCTGAGAGAATCAACAGAACACTCTTTGATAAAGTGAGATGCATGCTTATCACCTCCAAACTCCCCACCTCTTTTTGGGGAGAATCCTTTACCACCTTTGCCTACTTGATAAACAGAAGCCCCTCCACTACTATCAACCTAAAATATCCAGAAGAGATGTGGACTGGAAGAAAACCTGATCTAGGACACTTGAGAGTTTTTGGCTGTGCTACATATGCACACACTGTTGGTGGAAAACTGGAACCAAGGTCAACAAAGTGTGTTTTTCTGAGATATCAAGAAGGAATAAAAGGGTACAGACTGTGGGACAAGGAGTCCCCTGGGGTTAAAGTTGTAGTAAGCTGAGATGTAATCTTTAATGGGAGTATTTTCCCTTGTAAAAGTACTAACTCTAATGTAGGTCCAAATCCAAGTGTAAGGGAGAATTCCAGTCAGCCTAAGACTACACAAATTGAGGTGGAGCTTCCTGCCCAACCTCAACCACTGTAGGATCCTGAAAACACCCAGGAGACTGAAGTTGTTCCTGAACCTGGAGGAGAAGCTGGACATTATGATCCAGAACAAGAGGATGAGACAGAAACAGTTGAAGATACTAAAACTCAGCCTAAAAACTTGCAAGATTACCAACTTGTAAGAGATAGGGCCAGGAGACAGGTAATGATTCCCACAAGGTTTTCATATGCTATCCTTATCTATACTGCCCTTCTTGTAGGTACAAAACTGCAGAGAATTGAACCAGAGACTTATGAAGAAGCAGTAAACTCTAAGGAAAGGGATAAATGGAAGGTTGCCATGGAAGCTGAGATGAAGTCAGTAAAGGTGAACAAAACCTAGGCTCTTGTACCAGAGCCAAAAGGGCAGAAGGTAATCCAATGTAAGTGGCTGTTCAAACTAAAAGATGGAGCAACAACCAAAGAACCACTAAGGTATAAGGCTAGACTAGTAGCCAAGGGCTTCACCCAAAGAGAGGGAATAGACTTCAATGAAGTCTTTTCCCCAGTGGTTAAGTATAAAATAATTAGATTAATGCTCTCCATTGTAGCCCACCTAGATTTAGAACTTGAGCAATTAGATGTGACTACTGCATTCCTCTATGGGGATTTTGAGGAAGAGATCTATATAAACCAGCCTGTAGGATTTATAGACCCAAAGACCCCTGACCATGTCTGCCTTCTTCTCAAATCTTTATACGGCCTAAAACAATCCCCCCGACAGTGGTACAAAAGATTTGACACATTCATTGTGAGTATAGGCTTCACTAGGAGTAAATATGATAACTGCTTTTATTTTGCCCTAAGTGATAACTTGCCTGTGTACTTACTGTTGTATGTGGATGACATGCTAATAATTAGCAAGTCTAAGTCCCTGATTTGTAGATTAAAGGAAAAATTGAGTGCTTAGTTTGAAATGAAATATTTAGGAAATGCTAAGAAGATCCTAGGAATGCAAATTGA